CATCTGCAGTTAATAAATTATTCTCACAAGCAAAATAGTCAAATGGATTTTTATATTCTTCAACTAGAACTCTTTTATTATAATATACTGGAATATCTTTAGTTTTAGACTTTTTAGCTTCTGCCTTTTCTTTGTTTGTTTTTCTTTTACCTGTCTTTGTATTTTCCAATGTATCTTTTATATTCTCTTGATTTTTGTCAAGTATCGTTTCATCGTTAGTTGGATTGGGTTGTGAACGTATTAACAAATATGCCGGAACCATGTCAATAGCCAATTCCAAATCAACATTGTTTAAAGTACTAGGGTATGTAGTACTATCAGTATAAGTCGTATTTTCGTAAAACCTACAAAATAAATGATATTATTAACTAAACGTGGCGGCACGTTTTTCACATAAATCAGTCTTAAAATTTTTAAGATAAATATTCATTTATAACTGATACACGGAAGGTCTCCCATATTTTGGGTAGATAAAGTTGGAAAAATATTGATCATAGCCTACATGAAGCTTTCTTTGCAGTCCAGACAAAGCAAGATAGAGAACCATAATCTGAGCGATAGAAACGTGATCGCTCGAAGAAATCAACAGAAAAAACAAGAAGCATATATCAAATGCCTGCTTTATATCGGCAATTTGCCCAGTAGATGACACAACACCGCTTAAACTGGGAAACCAGAAACCCACATAAAATACCTATTCAAGGACGAAAAAATGCACACCTACTTGGGTAAACGTCTGCATGGTTGACGTCCCAATGAGGTCAGCCAAGAATATGTCGACAATACAGCGTCGAATTATTGATTGACGTCAGAAAAAAGTTCCCTAAAATTGAAGATTCTTTACTTGCCATTCGGGATCAGGTTATACTACACTACAAATGGTAGGTAATACTTGGATCACCCACCCCAACTTGATGTAATTGGTTATCAATATCGATAGAAGAACTACGAATTTGGAGTAGAAGTAGGATTCGGTATAGTTTAATTTTGGGCCTAAGTGGTTGATGGTATACTGTTGATATTTGGACAGTTGTTTGAAATATGGCCTAATTTCTTACAAGTATAACAAGTCAGATTGTATTAAGATATGAAAATTCTGTAAAAGGTGTTTTCATAATTTATTTCAACCGAATCTGTGATAGTGATATTATGTGGACTGACAAATACCTGTCTTCTAAAGCTTAATATGTGGTTATGCTCTGGTAGTGTAGCACCGATTTTTAAAAACGTTATAGGAGAAACGAGGTTTAAGCCCATTTCTTTTAATTCTCGGATAAGTACATCATGGGGAGTACATCAAGTTTCTTTTAAAATGTTGCTATTAATTTCGTGAACGTCTCTACAATTAGAATTACTAAGAGACTTTATCATTTGGGAGACTTCCTTTTAGACTTCTTCTTCCATAACGGGACGACAAAAAGGACTTGCTCGGAGAAGGATAATTTCTATAATTGAAGAGGACATCCACATTAATAATGGGAAGAGATGTAATTAAATTCTCTGCAATTGTAGTAAAAAATTGATTTATTTCGTCTAGAGGTAGTGGCATCCTTAGTGGCATCTGCAATATGTTTAATAAGAGAAAGATTAGATGTTTAAGACCTTAATTCATTATTAAACTATTGCAAGGATGTTTTTTCAGCAGTTTGTCGTACTTTTTTTTGGTGTAAAATACTTTTATATTAAGTTGTTATAAGTTTTGGTAAGAAAGTCATAGACAAAGTCCATCTTTGTACTAGCTAGCGCACGTTTAAGCTCCACTAAACCAGAATAAGTAATAAACCGTTGAAATGTTTGATTAGTTTTAACAACTTCATTCTCAGAATCAATAAATAAAAATTAAGCTCGATGGTCTTTAGACTTTATTTGAAATACATTGCAAATTAACATAAATCATGCTTACCGTACCTTATCAAACTAGTTTAATTTGATAAAAATTTGTAGACGCTTCTAGGTTTTTTCCTCCGTCTTTTTATGTGCTGAAAATTTCTTTGGAGTTAAATGAGCACGTGTGCTTGATTGTAGAGTAATTTCTAGCCACTTCTAGTATGTCAAAATGTAAATAACTTCGGTAAAAAATAATTTCTAAATTTACTAGACAGTTGGAACTGGGATTAGAGAACCGTCTATAAAATAGAACAGCTTGAAGCCTTACTCAAAAATGGCGACGCCCATTCGGGTCGTACAAGATTCTCCAGTCAACTAATTAAATTTTAAAATTGAAACGTAAGTTTGAACCAGATATAAATAGAATGAATCGTATTTTGTAGTATCTTTTATTATACGAGAAACAAATTACACTCTATAGATATTTATTAAACGTACAATTCTGAAATAAAACTTAAATTCTACATTTCATTATTTTTTACAGGTTTTTGCGTGATAATCTCTAATAGTTTTAGTAACAAAACCTTTTTGACACTTGCTGCAAGGGTAAGGGCGTTCTCCAGTATGAGTTCGTAGATGAACAGTAAGTGGTGATCTTTGGGCGAACGTTTTGTCACATAAATGACATTTGTGGGGTTTTTCCCCAGTGTGAGTTCGAACATGAATGGTCATACTTTGTTTCTGTTTAAATTTTTTCTTACAAAATTGACATATATACTGTCCCTCTTTATGTATTTTCATATGTTGCGTTAAGCGTGCTACCGCTGGAAAAGATCGTCCACAATCGTTGCAGAGGTAAGACTTTTGTTCGCTGGAATGAACATTCTCCATGTGTTGATCCAAGTTTTTCTTAAACGGTAAAGTTAAGTTACATGTGTCACATTTGTATTTTTTGAACAGAACGAGAGACTTAGTATCGTGGACTTGCATGTGAACAAGCATTTGGCGACTGGTAGCAAATTCCAGAAAGCAGACACTGCACGGTTTGGCGTACACTTCTCTTGACTTCTATGAAATATTTTATGGTCTTCAAGCCAGCTTTTCGAGAAAAAATGTTTATCACATTCCTTACAGTATAATTCTTCTTTTACGTGTTCTGAACGAATATGTAAAAATAAGGAATCTGTAATTTGAGTACTAAAATTTTTACAAACGACGCAAACGAATGTTTTGGGATCAGAACTGTGTGTGGCATTGTGGATGCTCAAGCTGTACTCATTCGCATAGTTTCGCTTACAGATTTCGCAGTAGTTATCTTTTATCCTGTGGGCTCGTTGGATGTGACCGTAATAGCTGCATTTATTTTTAAAAGTAAGCAGACAAAGGTCGCAAGTAACTTTTTCGTCATCTTTATCGGAATCCATTAACGTGAAGTTATCATCAGTTTCTTCTTTATCTTCACTTTTATCTTCTAATTGATCTGCTACTATTTTATGCATCTCATAATGATCAAATAAACTCTCTTTGCAATCATGTTCTTTACAACAAATCTTACAGTCCCATAGAACATCATTGGTCGATGCAGTTTGCATCTCTTTTTCTACCAATGATCTTTTCTTCAATGCATATGCAGACAGTAGATTATTCTCAAATACAAAATAATCAAATGGATTTTTATATTTCTCAATTATTTTAGGTCCGGTATTCTCTTTAGACGTTGATTTTTTACTTTCTGGTTTTTCTCTATTTGTTTTTGTTTCATTTGTTTTTGTTTTATCTGTGTTTGTTTCACCTGTGTTTGTTTCATCTGTATATGTTTCATCTGTGTTTGTTTCATCTGTGTTTGTAACTTCCAAAGGATCTCTTAGTATGTCTTGTTCTTTGTGGGATGTTGTTTCAACGTTAACTGTATGAGGAGGACGCATTAATATGTAAGCCGGAACCATGTCAATTGCCAATTCCAAATCAACATTGTTTAAAGTACCAGGGTATGTACTACTATCAGTATAAGTCGTATTCTCGTTAAACCTAAAAAATAAATGATATTATTAACTAAACGTGGCGGCACGTTTTTCACATAAATCAGTCTTAAAATTTTTAGATAAATATTCATCCATAACTGGTACGATGAAGGTCTTCCATATTTTGGGTCGGTGAAGTTGGAAAATATTGGTCATAGTTTACACGAAGCTTTCTTTGCAGTCCTAGACAAAGCAAGATATAAGCGATAGAAACGTGATCGATCGCAGAAATGCCGGAGATATATTAATAAAAATTGTTGACAATATTATTTTGCTTCTAGAAAATTTTCTATATCACTAGATAGCGACGTATGGTTACTATCCATGGTAATAATAATAATAATAAATGCAGGCTGAGGCAACTATTTTATATCGCGTAATTTGCGCAGTAGAGGACTTATCACCGCTTAAACTGAGGATCAGGTTCCACTAATCAAAAATTACATGAAATATTTCGTCAAAGACCCTCAGTCCCTAGGTCTATAACGATAAATGCCGATATGGATGTCAAGCTCACGAAACCGTCCAACACCTTACCGAGGGCTGGCCGACATTTGTTGCAACTGAATATAAAGAACAGCATGTATTGGTAGGAAAGATCCTTCATCATCAAAAGATAGATAGTAAACAGGGACTTCTCCAGACCAACCATTTCCATATTATCAATATGCTCTTGAGAGTATGCGTGAGAATGACAACTACAAGCTATATCGGTATCGCAATCTGCTCCCAGACCAAACCGTGGTACATAATATACCATATCTCATTCATATTACAATCACCACAGACAAGCTTGTAAATACCACGTCTGTTTATAGTTGTCCAACTTTGTCTTGGTCTTGTCTGAAGATGGACTTGATGTTATATTTGTTTTAAAGAGAGTTTAAGTCCATTAATTTTATTAACAAGTACTCTTGAAATTTTTTCTGAAATGGTCCTAAGTAGTTAAGGATCTATATATGGAAGTAGTGTTGGATATTGTTATCAACATTAAAAGCTTGGTTTAGTCTCTTTTTGAGTATAGATTTTCTAATGACTTTATCAACAGTAGTAGAAGGAAAACCATTGTTGTTTGCTATCTGTTTAATTATGGAGATTTCTTTATTGTAATTTTCTTGAGACATAGGGATATTAAGAAGTCTGTGGACATAACATTGAATAGCTGCCATCTTGTGTTGAAAAGGATTTAATAAAAAGAAATTAATAAATTAACTAGACAGTAAAAGTCAATATTTGTTAAAGTGTATTTTTTTGAGTTGGCTATTGTCTGAATCTGAAATGACCTGATCTAGGTATATATCCATAAATTTTCATAGTTTATTTGGCGCATCCTACCTGTCCCGGTTAGTATACCACTTTTATCTGCAGTACTAACCGATTTTCTACTATATGTTGAAGCGAATTATATCTCTTCTTTGAATAAAGAATTCGAAACAATAACACAAACAATTTCCAATTTATAAATATAATGAATTAGAAGTAAAATTGTTGTTTGCTAACTTTTTCAATCACTCTCCTTAAAGTAGGCTTATGTGTCTGTAATTGATCAGTTTTTAAGGAATCACCTTTTTTGTAGATAGGTAATACTTTTGAGTCATTTAGTACTTCCGGAAATCCTCCAGTTGATAGAATTAAATTAATAAGATGGGTGAAAGGTGTTAAAACTATTTGGTAAGTTTCTTCGTAAACGTCCCTACAATTAGAATTACTAAGAGACTTTATTATTTGAGAGACCTCTTCTACCACAATGGGATGAAAAAAGACTTGTTCGGAGAAGGGTAATTTCTATAATTGAAAAGGACATCGATATTAATAGTGGGAAGATATGTAATTAAATTCTCTGCAATTCTAGCAAAAAATTGATTTATTTCGTCTAGAGGTAGATCAGTGTTCTACCGAACTGGATCTTGTGATGTTCCTTTCGAAATTTACTATATTATTATTATTATTATAATAACAAATAAGGGCAGAGGAGCGAGCTCCTAGTTATGCCTAAAAAGAGCAAAAAAAAACAAAAATAAAAATAGATCCTTATAAAACTAATACCTAATTATAAAGTTAAGTAGTTAAACAATTAACGAAAATTGAATTGTGACACAATAAATAAATAAATAATGCTGTCCGAGAAAAAATATCCTATCCTATAAAAAAAATAAAAGTGCTGTCAAGTTTATTTTTAAAGATGTTAACACTACGCTGCCGATATGGTGTTTTGATCCAAATTGTTCCATATATTAAAGATTCTGTTTGGCAAGAAGTTCGCCCTGGACCTTGCAGTAGTTTGTTCCCTCTTTAATTTGTATTGATGGCCTCTTAATCTATCGTCTTCATTCAAAGTAAATATGTTGTTTAGGTTCCCAAAATTATGTTTTAAAATACGGAAGGACATAATTAGGTCACCTCGAAGACGTCGCTGCTCGAATGTCGGTAAGATGAGCCATGAATAGTCTATCTTCATAGTTAGGTCTTACACGGCCGTATGCCAGTCTTGTGGCTTTACGCTGAACGTTTTCAAGTAGAATTTTATCGCGACTAAGATCTGGATTCCACACTGGTCCGGCAAACTCAAGAATAGGTCTAACGTATATTAGTAAAGTTTACTAACAGAGGTAGAGATATGCGTGCAAAACACTTACGAATCAAAAACAGTTTCGAGTTAGCACGTTTACACACCGACACTATGTGATCAGACCAATTTAAGTCACTATTAATTATCACTCCGAGATCGTTGTGTGAGGTATACAGAGTTTAAAGGATGTCCATTAATAAACGGATGATGGTATCCAGTCTTCTAGCACTAAGGTGGATATCAACATGGCATTCTATTTACTTACAGCAGCTCTAAATAGTTGGCAGAGCTCAACTAAACCATTCCTTAGATTCGTAGCCAGGAGGTTCGCTTCTTCCTACATCTCTGCCGATAGTAAAACACGCATTTTCAATGTAACGAAGTAACCATTCTAAGGACCATTTGAATATCTGCGTCAAGATCTTGTTGAAGAATATATTGGTTAATAGTTGGATTCACATATAACTTAGTGTCATCAGCGTAAATGGAAACCTTACTGGATACAATGAGCGGAAGATCACTAGTGCAGACACAAAAAAGTAGCGGTCCAAGTACTGATCCTTGTGGAACTCCACTCTTGACTGGCTTATCTAATGAGTGAGTCTTCCCCAACACGAACCCTGAAGTATCTGTCGAGATAGAAAATCTTGTATCCAAATGTGTTTAATTTTCCGCGGATACCATAGTGATCCAATTTAGCTAGTAATCGACGTTTTGGAACACGATCGAAAGCTTTGGAGAAGTCTAAGTAAACTACATACGACAGGATTCCGATTGTTTAAAGATAATGACCAAATCATTTACACAATGAAGTAAGTTTGTGATCGTTGAACGACCTTTGATAAATCCATGCTGTTGGTGAGGGATGACATTTTCTCTTGAAGAAGGAACTCGGACATAGCTTCCGAAATAATCGATTCCATGACCTTGCTGACAATAGGAACTAGGCTGATTGGACGATAATTATTGCAATCAAGTTTATTACCTTTCCTTGAATACAGGAGTAACTGAAGCCAATTTCTCAGGACGATGGGATAGGAACCTGAGATTTAAAAGAAGCAGTCATTATGAGAGATATAGGGATGGCTAACATAATCTGCACATTGTTTTGAGGAAAAAAGAGGTGAGTCCGTCTAATCCAGGTGATGAATTATTTCGCAGTTTCCTTAAATGATATTTAATTTCATCACGGTATGAAAGATATATTGCTCAAGAGTTTTTAGACAAACGAGGGCACATTATTTGAGGAATGGTATCGTTAGATTCATCTGTAAAAACTTGAGAAAAGAATAACGATAAACATTCCGAAGATTCGTTATTCGAAGAACATAAAAGACCCATCAGCTTTTTGAAGTAAGCTGACTTTTTATGCCAATTACATTCAATTTTTTGTTGTTTATATACTTTGAAAAATTTTTCCTCGGTGATTTCCTGTAGAAAATATGCTCAGAGTCATTAAATAAAAATTGAGCTCGATGATTAAAAAAACACGGTTCAAATACGCCCACTTTCTAGATATTTTCCGAAAAATTTGTCATAATGTTGTCGATGCAACTACTGAACTGAGATATGATTCTAGTATAATCGTTTGTACTTACTTTTAGATCACAAGATGTTAATAGATTTTGAATATCAAAGGAACGGTCATGCTCAATTTTAAAATTATATTAAAATCACTATATGACATTCTCAAAATTCACCAAAAACAAGTCAAAGTCACCTTTACCCGATCTGTAAACATTGGTTTTTATTGAAGGTACATAAATTGCACAAAACTCTGAACTTTGCTTTACATAGTAGTCATTTAGATTAAGAGGAGAATACATAAGATTTTCTTTTACATAAATTGCAACTCCATCTTGTTCCTTTCTTATCCTACAAAAGAATTTAGCTAATGAATAGCAGGAGATGCTAATTTATGTTAAATTTTCTACACTTTGCCAGTGCTTCGAAAAATATGACGTCATTTGAATTTTGATCCGCAAGAAAAGCATTGATTATATCGACTTTATTTGAAATACAAGGTAAATTAACATGAAACATGCTTACCGTTCCTTGTTGAATTAGTTTATTTTGATAAAAAGTTTGAAGAAACTTCTGGATTTCTTCCTCCGTCTTTTTTAAGTACTGAAAATTTCTTTTGAAGTTAATTGAGCATGTGTGCTTGTTTGTATAGTAATTTTCAGCCACATCTAGTCTGTCAAAATGTAACTAACTTCACAAAAACATAATTTCTAAATTCACTAGAGAGTTTGGACTGGGATTTGCCAAACCGTCTATAAAATAGAACATCTTGAAGCCTTACTCAAAAATGGCGACATTTAAACCAGACAGAAACATAATCAATAGTATTTTGCAGTATATTTTATTATACGAGAAACGAATTACACTCTATAGATATTTATTAAACGTATAATTCTAGAAATAAAACTTAAATTCTACATGTCATTATTTCTTACAGGTTTTTGCGTGATAATCTCTAATAGTTTTAGTAACAAAACCTTTTTGACACTTGCTGCATGGGTAAGGACGTTCTCCAGTATGAGTTCGTAGATGAACAGTAAGTGGTGATCTTTGGGCGAACGTTTTGTCACATAAATGACATTTGTGGGGTTTTTCCCCAGTGTGAGTTCGAACATGAATGGTCATACTTTGTTTCTGTTTAAATTTTTTCTTACAAAATTGACATATATACTGTCCCTCTTTATGAATTTTCATATGTTGCGTTAAGCGTGCTACCGTTGGAAAAGATCGTCCACAATCGTTGCAGAGGCAAGACTTTTGTTCGCTGGAATGAACATTCTCCATGTGTTGATCCAAGTTTTTCTTAAACGGTAGAGTTAAGTTACATGTGTCACATTTGTATTTTTTGAACAGAACAAGAGACTTAGTATCATGGACTTGCATGTGAACAAGCAGTTGGCGACTGGTATAAAATTCGAGAAAGCAAACACTGCACCGGTTTGGCGTATACTTCTCTTGATTTTTATGAAATATTTTATGGTCTTCAAGCCAGCTTTTCGAGAAAAAATGTTTATCACATTCCTTACAGTATAATTCTTCCTTTACGTGTTCTGAACGAATATGGAAAAATAAGAAATCTGTAATTTGAGTACTAAATTTTTTACAAACGACGCAAACGAATGTTTTGGGATCGGAACTGTGTGTCGCGTTGTGGATGCTTAGGCTGTATTCATTTTCGTAGTTTTTCTTACATATTTCGCAGTAATCTTCCTTGGATTTGTGTGATCGTATAACATGAGAATTATAACTCCATTTATTTTTAAAAGTAGCTTGACAAAGGTCACAAGTAATTTTTTTTTCTTCTACAACCTCTATTTGATTTTCAGTTGACTCGTCTAACTGGTTTGCGATTGCTTTGTGCATTTCGTAGTGATCAAATAAACTGTTCTTGCTGTCAAGTTCTTTGCAACAAATTCTACATTCCCATAAGAATGTAGATCTAATGTCATTGGCTGTTGTATTTTGCATCTCTTTTTCCACCAAGATTGTTTCTTCATTGTATATGCAGTTAATAAATTATTCTCAAAAGCAAAATAGTCAAATGGATTTTTATATTCTTCAACTGGAACTCTTTTATTATTATATACTGGAATATCTTTAGTTTTAGACTTTTTAGCTTCTGCCTTTTCTTTGTTTGTTTTTCTTTTACCTGTCTTTGTATTTTTCAATGGATCTTTTATCTTCTCTTGCTTTTTGTCTAATATCATTTCGCCGTTAGTTGTATAGGGTTGTGAACGTATTAACAAATATGCCGGTACCATGTCAATAGCCAATTCCAAATCAACATTGTTTAAAGTACCAGGGTATGTAGTACTATCAGTATAAGTCGTATTCTCGTAAAACCTACAAAATAAATGATATTATTAACTAAACGTGGTGGTATGTTTTTCACATAAATCAGTCTTAAAATTTTTAAGATAAATATTCATTCATAACTGGTACGAGGAAGTTCTCCCATATTTTGGGTGGATAAAGTTGGAAAAATATTGATCATAGTCTACATGAAGCTTTCTTCGCAGTCCAGACAAAGTAAGATAGAGAACCATAATCTGAGCGATAGAAACGTGATCGCTCGAAGAAATCAACAGAAAAAACAAGAAGCATATATCAAATGCCTGCTTTATATCGCGCAATTTGCCCAGTAGACGACACAACACCGCTTAAACTGGGAAACCAGAAACCCACATAAAATACCTACTCAAGGACGAAAAAATGCGCACCTAGTTGGGTAAACGTCTGCATGGTTGACGTCCCAATGAGGTCAGCCGAGACTATGTCGACAATGCAGCGTCGAATTATTGATTGGCATCAGAAAAAAGTTCTCTAAAATGAAAGATTCTTTACCTGCCATTCAGTATCAGGTTATACTATACTACAAATGATAGGTAATACTTGGATCACCTACCCCAACTTGATGTAATTGGCTATCAATATCGAATTTGGCGTAGAAGTAGGATTCAGTATAGTTTAATTTTGGGCCTGAGTGGTTGATGGTATACTGTTGATGTTTGGACAATTGTTTGAAATATGGCCTAATTGCTTACAAGTATAACAAGTCAGATTGTATTGAGATATGAAAATTCTGTAAAAGGTGTTTTCATAATTTATTTCAACCGAATCTGGGATAGTGATATTATGTGGACTGACAAATACCTGTCTTCTAAAGCTTAATATGTCGTTATACTCTGGTAGTGTAGCACCTATTTTTAAAAACGTCATAGAAGAAACAAAGTTTAAGCCAATTTCTTTGAATTCTCGGATAAGTATATCATGGGGAATTGTTAAACTGACGTTAGATAACACTATCCTTTCAGCAGGCGTTATAAGTCTTCTAGCTCGTACGATTCCTCCTTGCACTTTAATAGAACCAAATTTCTACATAAATTCATCTACGCTGGATTTACTATTAAGATACATACATATTCTATTATTAGATAACCTAGAAGAGAATAAGATATTTTTTGGATTAATTAAAGTGCCGTTTCGCCGATGATATACTTATAATAGCTGAAGATGTAGGTATGGCAAGAGATATGGTACAGGAACTCGTTGTGGCTACAGAAAATGTAGGTTTAAATATAAATATATCGAAAACAAAAATCATGACCAATTTGGTACCCAACCAGAACATCAGTATTGGTGGGAAAAAAATAGAACTCGTAAGAATACCTGGGACATGAAATTATGATTGGCAGGGATAACCAGACTCATGAACTGAAGAGAAGAATCTACCTAAGGTGGGCAGCATTGGAAAACTGAGAAAACTTTAAAAGTGAGCTGCCCACATACCTAAAGAGAAAGGTATTTGATCAGTGCGTCCTCCCAGTCTTGAAGTCATCATCATCTTGGTGCTACAGCCCTGAGAGGGCCTCGACCTTCTCAAGCTTTCTACGCCATTCTGTTCTGTCCCTTGCTTGAATTTTTCAGTTGCCGAATCCGATCTTCTCCGCATCTTGTGTTACCCCATCCATCCACCTCAGCTTTGGTCTACCCCGTCGTCTCATTCCCCCAGGTTGCGCTGTTAGAATCTTTTTTATCATGTTCGATTCAGGGGCCCGGGCTACATGTCCTGTCCACTGCAGGCGGTTTCGCTTAATTATAGTGGTAATATCTTTACCACCAAACGTATGCTTGTAGATATTCTGCAGTTCGAAGTTATATCTACGCCTTCATATTCCGTTCTCACAGACCGCTCCAAATATCTTGCGTAGCACCTTTCTTTCAAAAATGGATAGAGCGGATTCATCTGTTTTCGTAGCGTCCATGCCTCTGATCCGTATGTAAGAACGGGGACTATCAGTGTTCTATACAGCCTTATATGAGTTTTTTGAGACATACGTTTGGTAGCTAAGTACTTTGATAGACCATAATAACACCTGTTTGCAATTATTATTCGCCTTTTTATTTCCTCAGATGTATTATTATTGGGGTTAACCGATGTCCCTAGATATATGAATTTATTAACTGCTTCGAAGTTTTGGTCATTGATGATTAAATTTGTGTCAACATTTCCAGCTCTTGTGTTTGTGTTAGTCGCCATGAATTTGGTTTTATTTTGATTTATATGTAACCCCATTCGTTCTGCTGCTGCTACTAGCTCGGTTAGGATTTCCGCAGTTCTCGCCCTAGTTCTTGTTATAATGTCCACGTCGTCTGCATATGCTAGAATTTGGACTGATCTATTAAATATTGTTCCCCTGCTATCTAAATTAGCGTCTCGTACAACTTTTTCTAAGGCGCCATTAAAAAGCTGACACGCCAGCGCATCTCTCTGCCTTAACCCCCTATGTATTTGAAATAGGGTTGACGAGTCGTTTTGAATTTTTACTGCTGATAGCATCTTCGCCATTGTCACTTTTATCAAACAGTCTTGAAGTACGGAGCAGAAAAACTTACCTAACAAAAGCAGCAGCTACCAAACTGAGAGTCACGCAGAGAAGAATGGAGCAGTTCATGTTAGGAATAACTCTGCGAGACCTAATAACCAACGAAGACATCAGAAGAAGAACCGGAGTGACTGACATCATCGAGAAGATAGCCAGACTAAAATGGAGATGAGCAGGAAAGAGGTTGAGCGTTGAAGACTATCACGTTTGTTGAGTGAATATTGATTGAATGCTTCTCTAGGCAAGAGATTTTAGTTTTATATAAGTTTTAATTGGGTCAATATATTCGCGGACCTAATGACATGTGTATCTAAGTTGCGTGTAAATTGTTTAACTTTCGTCAGCACTTTCGACTGATGTCCAAATTTTATTGTTGATAATTGACCAAATCCAATGTAACCTAATTAACTACGTGTGTATATTTAATAACAAATAAATTCATTCGGTCTACTGGGTAATAAAATTATACTGTCCAATTTCGGATATGAATTCTGAAGATTTGATATTGGACACGTTGAAATGTTTGATTAGTTTTAACAACTTCAATCTCAGAGTCAATAAATAAAAATTGAGCTCGATGGTCTTTAGAATTTATTTAAAATGCATTGCAAATTAACAAGGCTTTTTCCTCAGGTTTTTTTTTATGTGCTGAAAATTTATTTTTGAGTTAAATGAGCACGTGTGCTTGATTGTAGAGTAATTTCTAGCCACTTCCAGTCTGTCAAAATGTAATTAACTTCGCAAAAAAAGATTTATTAATTTACTCGACAGTTGGGCCTGAGATTGTAGCATTTGCAATTTCATTGATTCTTTGGTATACATTGAAATCCTTCAGATATGAATTAAAATAACGAAGAATATTTTAGTGTATTTCATTTCCGATTCGTACGAATTAAAACACCGAATTCTTTCAATTCTTAACGTCGCTTTAGTTAATATAAACCATTTTAGAGTTGTTTATTATTTTAAAGATGTGTACTTTCTCGGCATTTTCTTTTAATGTTTTATTCGAAGTCGCCTTATAATTTTTGTACGTCGTACAAATGGAATCTTCTGCGTTTTAATTCCTGTCAAGTGTTTGTTATTCCAGGTTATGTGAATTAATTTTAAAGATAATTTGATCACTCTCAGTAAGCTGGCCGCTGATCAAGGCGTGTTCGGTTTTATTTGAGTCCGAATTTATTTTCAAATTCAAAATCTTTTCGTTTTCCTTTTCTTGTCATGGAAATGTAGCATGAAGTGAGAGTAGCAGTTGGATACTTGGTATTGAGCAGTTTTACATTAGTTTTTAAAGATGGCCTCATGTTGTCATTGTGCTGTGCCTATTCCAGTCTTTGATGGAGACGGGTTTTCAAGGTTGTGTTCCAGTCGGTGCTGACTTCGCCCTCATCTTCTTATCCCTGGTCGTCATCCCGGATCAGCGCCCAGTATAATCCCAGCATGATTCCAGTTCCCGACCCCAGACATGCAGAGTGAAGTTTAGTGAGGTTCGGGTAACTTTTTCTGCGTCTAAAATTTATATTATATATTATTTTGGTAAGAATCTCTGTAAGTAATATAGCATTTTTTATGCTGTCTGTATTTTTGTAACTGTTTGTGATAAGACACCAATAAATGTTGAATTTTGTTTCTTAACATTTTGTGAATTTTTTTTTAAACTAACCCTTTTTTTCTTAAACTTACGTTTAATAATTATTTTCCTAGTTACAACTAGTGGTTGTAATAGGTATAATTAGGCACCTCAAGTGGCGCCCCATATTAAATTACTAGAGTTGTTTCCTGTTTCTTTTTGTTTTGTTTGTCCCAAGAAATTCATGACTCTTTATTTCATTTTTTTTAGTTGCCCCAATCCAACCCCCTTATCATTTATTTATCCCCGACCCCAGCTCTCCTAACAAACCCTGAGTGCCGTTAGCATATGTTTCGATTAATTTGCTTGCCCTATCTCCACCCCAATAGTTTCTGTCCCCAATTTTCTACCCCCATGATCTTACCCTAAGGTAGGCAAAATCTATTCGTTACAGGATTAGCAAACCTTACTCCAAAATGGCAAAATTTGAACCAGACAGAAACATAATTACTGTTAAAACTGGGAATAAGCCACAATTAAAGATAAAAATACGTTTATTGACGTTTCAATTTCCACTTCGGAAATCGTTCTCAAAATACAAACAGTAAATTAAACAAATTTTGTTTTTTGTTACATAGTGAAAAATTCTTCTAATAATTTAATTTTATCTGACTCATTTATATTGACAATTCAGACATACATTATGCATTTTAAAGTAGACGACTTTAAAATGATATTGCCAATATTGTTGAGTTGCGCTCCTGGGACGACTTTACTTATAAGATAGTTCATTCGATTACATGAAATCAACTTTAACTTGAGAATATCCGTCAGAAAAAATCATAGCATGTAATTCGTCTTTAAAAAGACAAACAAATGACATGATG